ATGTCTAGTTTAACTGCGTGCTGTTGTATCGTATCATCGTTGACAGTCCATGTCTAGTTTAACTACGTGCTGTTGTATCGTATCATCGTTGACTGTCCATGTCTAGTTTAACTACGTGCTGTTGTATCGTATCATCGTTGACTGTCCATGTCTAGTTTAACTGCGTGCTGTTGTATCGTATCATCGCTGACTGTCCATGTCTAGTTTAACTACGTGCTGTTGTATCGTATCATCGCTGACTGTCCATGTCTAGTTTGACTACGTGCTGTTGTATCGTATCATCGTTGACAGTCCATGTCTAGTTTAACTACGTGCTGTTGTATCGTATCATCGTTGACTGTCCATGTCTAGTTTAACTGCGTGCTGTTGTATCGTATCATCGTTGACTGTCCATGTCTAGTTTAACTACGTGCTGTTGTATCGTATCATCGCTGACTGTCCATGTCTAGTTTAACTACGTGCTGTTGTATCGTATCATCGCTGACTGTCCATGTCTAGTTTAACTACGTGCTGTTGTATCGTATCATCGTTGACTGTCCATGTCTAGTTTAACTACGTGCTGTTGTATCGTATCATCGTTGACTGTCCATGTCTAGTTTAACTGTGTGCTGTTGTATCGTATCATCGTTGACTGTCCATGTCTAGTTTAACTGTGTGCTGTTGTATCGTATCATCGTTGACTGTCCATGTCTAGTTTAACTACGTGCTGTTGTATCGTATCATCGCTGACTGTCCATGTCTAGTTTAACTGTGTGCTGTTGTATCGTATCATCGCTGACTGTCCATGTCTAGTTTAACTACGTGCTGTTGTATCGTATCATCGTTGACTGTCCATGTCTAGTTTAACTACGTGCTGTTGTATCGTATCATCGTTGACTGTCCATGTCTAGTTTAACTGTGTGCTGTTGTATCGTATCATCGTTGACTGTCCATGTCTAGTTTAACTGTGTGTGCTGTTGTATCGTATCATCGTTGACTGTCCATGTCTAGTTTAACTGTGTGCTGTTGTATCGTATCATCGTTGACTGTCCATGTTTAGTTTAACTGTGTGCTGTTGTATCGTATCATCGTTGACAGTCCATGTCTAGTTTAACTACGTGCTGTTGTATCGTATCATCGTTGACTGTCCATGTCTAGTTTAACTGTGTGCTGTTGTATCGTATCATCGTTGACTGTCCATGTCTAGTTTAACTGTGTGCTGTTGTATCGTATCATCGTTGACTGTCCATGTCTAGTTTAACTGTGTGCTGTTGTATCGTATCATCGTTGACAGTCCATGTCTAGTTTAACTACGTGCTGTTGTATCGTATCATCGTTGACTGTCCATGTCTAGTTTAACTGTGTGCTGTTGTATCGTATCATCGTTGACTGTCCATGTCTAGTTTAACTGTGTGCTGTTGTATCGTATCATCGTTGACTGTCCATGTCTAGTTTAACTGCGTGCTGTTGTATCGTATCATCGTTGACAGTCCATGTCTAGTTTAACTACGTGCTGTTGTATCGTATCATCGTTGACTGTCCATGTCTAGTTTAACTACGTGCTGTTGTATCGTATCATCGTTGACAGTCCATGTCTAGTTTAACTACGTGCTGTTGTATCGTATCATCGTTGACTGTCAGTGTCTAGTTTAACTACGTGCTGTTGTATCGTATCATCGTTGACTGTCCATGTCTAGTTTAACTGCGTGCTGTTGTATCGTATCATCGTTGACTGTCAATGTCTGGTTGATTGTGTGCAGTGGTATCGAGGTATCAACAAATGTCCGTTGTCAGTATAAATGGTTTTCAGGCCGCAGTATATTTACTCAATCTCACTGGTGCCCCAGTTATTTACGCACCGGAACTCGCTATGCAGAGCTACGTCCCTTGGTCACATCCAAAATCTATGATCGTGGTTCGAATCCGAGTTCGCCCCGACTATGTTTTAAGGTTTAGGATGTAAACAGCCAAGACCTGCATCACCTCGGGCTTTCCAAAGAGTATCGCCACGCCTGATTATCATTTTTAACACTCATAATATTAAAAAGAAGTAATTTATGAATCCGATTCCGCTCCATGATACCCTTTCATAATCTACCCAGTAAGGAGTGTTAACTTCCACCCTTGAATCCGATTTTTGTATCTGATGCCATGTGAGCTGTACAACATGTGCTCTTGAGTGTTAGCAGCAATTTGATACCATGAAAAATATGGGGTGTTGCGATACTTCTTTCCATGTGTAGACCATTGACGTAATGGTAAACAGGTGATGCATCATATATGATACAACGATGATTGATCTATGAGCAATGTGCGAAACAGTTTCCAAATTTTGCTAGCCAGTCAGGCTAGCTATGTCTGAGAGTTACTAGCCCACAAAATAAGTCACTAGCCCGAAATTTGAATGTAGAAACTAAGCAAAATATTACAAAAAGGTACCATACCATCAAAAACAAATAAGAAAACACATGTCTGAAATATTTTATTTATGTTCAAATAAGTCATTATTAATATAAGCTGCTGATATGATGAACATTTTTATCAGATCATAATTTTGCATGATTTAAAATTATATTTCAACTTTACAAGTCGGAGGGAGTGATATATCTACAAAATTCACTAGCCAGTCGCTCTAGTGACTGTGGGTATTTACTGGCCCGACTGGATTTTTACTTGCCACAGGCTAGCGGGCCAGTGACTATTTCGCACACTGTCCATTGTTTAATACTAACCATGGCGAGTATAGATACAGCGACATAGGTATCTTCAGAGGTGTAGTATTTCCGATCTGATTGTTGGACAGTGTGGTAGTGGTATCAGAAATCGTGTGGTTTTATCAGTGCCTCTCCTTACACACAATATTCATACACCTTGCTTCATTGACCCGGGGCATGGAATAGGTGTGTTCATGTACAAATCATATGGTGTTGTTACACAGGAACACAGGAGATTTGGGCATGCACTGAACAACACGATGGCGCTTTTCTAAGTGACTTCACTGCCGTATACGTAGCTTGTAGTCATGACTGTACATTTTCATTAAAATAATCATATTCAAAACGATTCTGTTATGTCTGAAATTATTCCCGCCACTTCAGTGAAGAGAATTAAGTGTAAACGCTGTCGGATACTTCGCAACCGATTTGTTGACAGTAAACTGTCGTCTTTTGACACTTCGCAACCGATATGTTGACAGTAAACTGTCGTCTTTTGATATTTCGCAACCGATACGTTGACAGTAAACTGTCGTCTTTTGATACTTCGCAAGCGATATATTGACGGTAAACTGTCGTCTTTTGATACTTCGCAAGCGATATGTTGACAGTAAACTGTCGTCTTTTGATACTTCGCAAGCGATATGTTGACAGTAAACTGTCGTCTTTTGATACTTCGCAAGCGATATGTTGACAGTAAACTGTCGTCTTTTGATACTTCGCAAGCGATATGTTGACAGTAATCTGTCGTCTTTTGATACTTCGCAAGCGATATGTTGACAGTAATCTGTCGTCTTTTGATACTTCGCAACCGATATGTTGACAGTAAACTGTCGTCCGTAACAGGAAACTGTAGTCTGTATGGTAGACAAACGTATGCCTTGGTCCCGATCCAGAAAGTGATCGTAACGTTACGACCTATCGTAACTCTATACTTTATCATAGGCTTACGACTGTCGTAGCGCTACGAACGTTTTGTGGATACATTTTAGAATGTAATGTGTTCGTTAAGAGGCGGTTCGAGCCATGCTGGACAAAATTTGGCAGGGACGAATCTTTTCACTTAATCTCTCAGGGCAAACCCCGCGAAGATCCGGGTCAGAATTATTATGCATACACCCATGCTTGTCGTAAGAAGTGACTAACGGGATAGGGTGTTCAGACTCGCTGACGTGGTTGACATGTCATTGTATCCAAATAGCGTAGATCGATGCTCATGCTGCTGATCACTGCACTGTCTGGTCCGGACTCGATTATTTATTGGCCGCCGCCATATAGCTGGAATATCGCTGTGTGCGGCGTTAAAAAAATTAAAAATAAATGTATCCGTGTTTACTCGAGTTTGTGAGATTCAAATGAAGGTTCTGGTGAGATTCTGTGACTTGTTTGATGAAATTGTATCGTACACGACAGCGTAGGTCGTTTCCTGGCTGTCCGATGTCGTCGGGGTACGATGACATCGTCAACGAAGTCTATCACCCGATCAATTTCCGCATAGGTAGCTGGCGATTCACTCTGAACCGGGTTCACCATAGGTTGCTGGCGATTCACTCTGAGCCGGGTTCACCATTGGTTGCTGGCGATTCACTCTGAACCGGGTTCACCATAGGTTGCACTGGCTGATCTCCAAACAGAACATAAATTGAATATATTACCATAAAGCTAATAAATCAAGCATTGTACAACCTATTAAGTCATGAGTAATAACAGTGTCATCACACCAGTACTCACCGTCATAATGTGAACGGGTTGCTATCGACCTTCTATATTAATTTGTTTAATTTACAACTCGGAAAAAGGGAAAATATTGCTATCCAAATTAATTTACTCAACAAAGCAAATAAGGGCATCGTGTGCATTACGCATTACTTGTCTGTTCAATCTGTCATGTGGAGAGTTCAACGCCCCCGGGGTCCACTCGGACACAAGCATAGGTCGTCAATGATGCCGCCCCACCTTAATTGTTCCAGGTACTCACCCGGATGGACGAGATACCAGTGCTGATGTCAACACAACGAGCGGTGTACACGCCCTGAGGGGACACGGACAGCCAGCGATTGATGATCCAAGGTAGAGCTGTCCTGATGACGCTGTCATATAGTGCATAGCTACAGAGGTGATGCAGTCGACGGTGCTGCGGTTGACGATGTTGAAGCTGCCTAGGCAGATGTCCAACATGGAATAATAACTGTGTTGATCATTGCGCTGCTTTACACATTCCACTAGTGTTTGCTTTACCTACAAGTTTTGCATTGTGAACAACGCATTCCTATTTTGGACCTTTGTATGTTGTGGAGACATTTGACTGTATGCAGAGACCAGAAGCTATATGAGTGTGTTTCACCGATGGACCGGAGCAGACCCTCTAGTCAATAAGTGCTACATGTGTTCCACTGACAATGGACTTGTATGAGGTAGTTTATGGCAGTAAAGGTAGACGCCTTTAAGAGATATACACCATAGAGAACTGATAAGACGCCAGGACAAAACACGGAATACCTTGGACTGACCTCACACCTTGCTGGTGATGACTCGTGTGGATCTCTGTTATCAGGTGCATTGACGTCATTCACTGACACATCAGAACTGCTTCCATAGCTTGATATAATTCCTGGTTTCAGGGTATTTAAATGTTGAAATACTACCTACAGTATATATAACTTCGAATTCAATGCATTTGGTCAGCTCTTATCAAAGAGTGACAATACCAGCGTTTACTGGCAGTGTATAATTGTCGCAAATCCCGTGTAAATTCTAACGCTGTATTTATACTTGCCGACATTTGTATTGTAACGGAATTAAGTTCTATTCAAACTTGTGAAGATGATGAGTGTGCTGTCCTCAAAGTTGACAAAGACCACGACGTACACAGATATTTAATTCAAGTGGAGAACGTTTGTGTTATATATTAATACATTTACTTCCGATGACGTCACTAATCTGATAGAAAACCGACGGAGCTAGTGTTATCTTGTCATTGCCCTACACCAAGGGGTTCACAAAATCTCGTGATAGTGCACGTGACCCTGGGGTTAAAACTGGGGTTTAAAGAATTCCGGAATCCAACCTCAACGTTTCAAAGGACATTTCGCGGGTAACGCAGCCACACTGCAGCAATGGACAACTATTCCTTCCCCGCGAAATCCTGCGTCCCCGGGAATGAAATCAAGGATGATTTCGACCCCAGCTTCCTCATCCACTTCAACGCTCCCAGTCCTCCTCCCACCTTCCCCACCTGGGAGATTGCGATCAAAATTCTTTTCTATGTGTTGGCGATGTTGCTGGACGTTGTGGGCAACAGCATCGTCATTCTCATCATCGTCCTGAACAGGAAGATGCGGACGACGACTAATGTGTTGATCTTGAACCTTGCGGTGTCGGATCTCATGGTGGCTGCCTTCTGCATGTGGGTGCACGTCGGGTATCAGATCGCCCCTGAGTGGCCCTTTGGGGACTTTGTGTGTAAGGGGAACACGTTCTTTCAAGGTAGGCGCTACATTATAGGAGATACGGTAGCTTAACGTGTAAGTGTTAGCCCGCAAAGCCAGTAAATGCGGTGTAACTCCCGGCACAATTTGTCATTCTTATGGTGCTGAAATGCAACATCATTGACAGATTTTAAAACGTTTGGGGTTTGGTATTTCTTTCCCTGTGACAAGAGTCCAAATAAAAAAGAAATCAAGAAAAATTTCAAAAGGCTATGCTCACAATTCATTGTAACGTAAGAGATCGCAAATTAGTTTGTCCTAAACATGCCCTAACGTAGACGTATGAGTGCTCGAAACATTCCCAAAGGCGGACGCCACCATGGCTAGTACAATAAAACTGATGGTCGCTGGCACACTGCTGGCACAAAGACAAGGGAATATCGTGCTACTGCATAACGCATAGTGTGCTTGACTTGTAATGTACACCGACTGAGATTGATCATGGTCGTGTGCGAGTTCTGCCAGGCTCATTAAAGTCAAAACTTGATGTAGCCGTGTCGAGCTCAGGCCTGATGTTAATTTTAGGCTGGATGTCTGTGTACTTTTTTGTGGGTGCACCAAAGACTCAACCACCCGGGGTTCTGCAGTTCGCCGTGTACCCCTCTGACAAGTGTAAATACTGGAATCTGTGCGTAGAAAGTGTAGTCCCAACAATATAATATATCAATGTCAATGTTGGTTTATCATTATGAATGTCTAATACTATGTTTATGACCATGTCTCATGTTGGTATGTCAATGTCCATGTCTCATGTTGGTATACCAATGTTCATGTCTCATGTTGGTATGTCAATGTCCATGTCTCATGTTGGTATGTCAATGTCCATGTGTCATGTTGGTATACCAATGTCCTGGTCTCATGTTGGTATGTCAATGTCCTGGTCTCATGTTGGTATTCCAATGTCCTAGTCTCATGTTGGTATGTCAATGTCCATGACTTATGTTGGTATACCAATGTTCATGTCTAATGTTGGTATACCAATGTCCTGGTCTCATGTTGGTATAGAAATGTCCTGGTCTCATGTTGGTATACCAATGTTCATGTCTCATGTTGGAATACCAATGTTCATGTCTCATGTTGGTATACCAATGTCCATGTCTCATGTTGGTATACCAATGTTCATGTCTAATGTTGGTATACCAATGTCCTGGTCTCATGTTGGTATAGAAATGTCCTGGTCTCATGTTGGTATACCAATGTTCATGTCTCATGTTGGAATACCAATGTTCATGTCTCATGTTGGTATACCAATGTCCATGTCTCATGTTGGTATACCAATGTCAATGTCTCATGTTGGTATGTCAATGTCCTTGTCTCATGTTGGTATGTCAATGTCCTTTCCATGTTGGTATATCAATGTCCTGGTCTCATGTTGGTATGCCAATGTCCTGGTCTCATGTTGGTATTCCAATGTTCATGTCTCATGTTGGTATGTCAATGTCCTGGTCTCATGTTGGTATACCAATGTCCTGGTCTTATGTTGGTATACCAATGTCCTGGTCTTATGTTGGTATACCAATGTCCTGATCTCATGTTGGTATGTCAATGTCCTTGTCTCATGTTGGTATACCAATGTCCTGGTCTCATGTTGGTATTCCAATGTCCTGGTCTCATGTTGGTATGCCAATGTCCATGACTTATGTTGGTATACCAATGTTCATGTCTCATGTTGGTATACCAATGCCCTGGTCTCATGTTGGTATTCCAATGTCCTGGTCTCATGTTGGTATGTCAATGTCCATGACTTATGTTGGTATACCAATGTTCATGTCTCATGTTGGTATACCAATGTCCTTGTCTCATGTTGGTATATCAATGTCCTTGTCTCATGTTGGTATACCAATGTCCTTGTCTCATGTTGGTATACCAATGTCCTTGTCTCATGTTGGTATATCAATGTCCTGGTCTCATGTTGGTATGCCAATGTCCTTGTCTCATGTTGGTATACCAATGTCCTTGTCTCATGTTGGTATACCAATGTCCATGTCTCATGTTGGTATACCAATGTCCTTGTCTCATGTTGGTATACCAATGTCATGGTCTCATGTTGGTGTTCCAATGTCCTTGTCTCATGTTGGTATACCAATGTTCATGTCTCATGTTGGTATACCAATGTCCTTGTCTCATGTTGGTATATCAATGTCCTGGTCTCATGTTTGTATACCAATGTCCTGGTCTCATGTTGGTGTTCCAATGTCCTTGTCTCATGTTGGTATACCAATGTCCTGGTCTCATGTTGGTATACCAATGTCCTTGTCTCATGTTGGTATATAAATGTCCATGTCTACACAGTAATGTCCCTGCCTGATGTCCCTGCCCACTTGTTCTCATCTAAGGTTCATGTTCCGGTGTTCATATACCAAAAGTCACTTCACGTATTAGATAAGAATAGGTTCTCAACGTTATACGCACTTCATTCACCCTTTCGTGGCCCCTTTTCAAGTGTTGTCAGTAACGTCCAGCGTCCTCACCCTGACGGTCATTTCCGTGGAACGCTTCATGGCGATCGTGTTCCCCTTCCGGGCCAAATGGTCATCTGTGGTCACCGGGGTGGTCATCGTCCTGACGTGGTGTGTATCGACCATGATAGCCTCGCCTCACCTCTGGATCCGGCAGCAGTTTAAGTGGCAGTGGAAGGACAGGCTCGAAATTTGGTGTGAAGAGGTTTGGCCGAAAATATACAAGAACGCGGAATGTGAGACATACCAACCCGGCAAGCTGATATACTACATTGTTGAGGGCGTCGTCATGTACTTCGTCCCCATCGCCGTCATGATTGGGGCCTACTCCGTCATCACCATCAAGCTCTGCCTCCGCAAGGCTCCAGGGACGCTGATCGGCTCCACGGCATCAGCTCAAGAGAAATCCAAGAGAAAGGTCGGTGCAGAGGCTTCTTTTGTAAAAGAGTGCGTGCGTGCGTGCGTGTGTGTGTGTGCGTGAGTGAGTGAGTGAGATCTTAAATCTATACCGCAGAAATATTCATACAAATGTAGAAAATGTTATCATGTAATGGGTAGGTTAAAACCAGCTGATAGAAAGGATATGTGTTTACTGGACACAATTTAAGAATGGTTTCATGTGCTAAAGACCTTATCAAGCTATATGGACTTTTTTATGGTAAATAACCTGTAAACATTATGTATAACAACTTTCGGCAATCGGTAGAAATTTAACTTTCCAAAACGCACCAAAGTTCGCTTATTAGAATCACTGCTACAACACGGCACATATTGTTATTATTATTATTAATATATGATATTTATATAGCGCACATATCCAGGTAACTAGTGCTTGCTCAAGGCGCTGGTATTTTTTCCCTCGATCATTGGATGTCAGTCTCACCGGCACATCGTGTTATCAATCTCAACTCCCTGGGGATCATACAACTCTTGCAGCCACTAGGCGCACCGAGTTTATTGTGGCCTTCTCATCCTAACGAGGTACCCATTCACAGCTGGGTGGACTGGGACACATAGTCACAGTACTTTGTCCAAGTTCACTGCACGTTGCTGTACCCACAACTTGGTGTTTGCACGTATTCATGTGGCCACCATCTGGTCATATACCAACGGATTCGTGGGTTCTTTTAAGTGCTCAGGGATGTGTACTGTACACTAGGGGTTGTGACAACACTGAAAAAGTCTGCACACAAAGTTGACTCCGAGGTTTTTATACTCGGTCACAGGTGGGCTCGATCCCGACACCTCAAGCTCGCTGGATCACTAGCCTGGCACCTTAGCCAGCTCACCCACCGCGCCCGCGTTGCGAGGAGATATCATCACAACACGCACAAACCTCATATACAATGTAATCATACCTCTGTTACTGTTGTGTTCATAATAAAGCATTAAAGCAATGTGACGCCCTGACATATAAATAATGTATGGCATGCTGCATGTTGCTGTTAATGTTGATTATACCCAGAACACACATTGTCCACATGTCAATACAACTGACCTGTGGGTCCGATTTACCGGTGCTCTGTTATGACCAGGGGACGATTGTGACACGCAGGAACATGAGCACCACCATAACATACTCGCCATGCACTAGCCATTAGGACACCCTCGTTGTGGTAGGTCATTACCTTAGCTGTTGGACAGTGTGGTCCGAAAGGTCATCATCATTTATTCAGGTTAAAGAGCTAGAGTATGATGGTCAATGGCCGGACTGTCCTTGGACTGAATACAGGCCATCAAAACACGGTATAAAGCAAATGTACATACCACTGTCTGTCAAACGAATATGACATATACCAGAGTTCTAGGTAATACTTTATCATGTGTAGACATTGTCACATGGTATTCAATGGAAACCAACGTGTTCAACTTTTTATAGGGATACTGACGTATTTCATACTACTTTACACCCGCATCTACATATACAGATTTGGTTGACACATGTCATCGGTTCCCAATGGCGCAGATCGATGCTCATGCTGTTGATCACTGGATTGTCTGGTCCAGACTCGATTATTTACAGACCGCCGCCATATAGCTGGGATATTGCTGAGTGCGGCGTAAAACTAAACTCACTCACTCACTCACATATACAGATAGTTGTCTGTGTTCAAGCCGACTATTGGCCAGGAGTATCTTAATGGTAAATGAAGAATTGATCGTACTGGTGTTTGTTGATCAAGACTATACAAAGTCGAAAAGCAGAGTAAAAGGTCATTGTTCGATTATCTAAGATAATTTTGGATTCATATGTACAACATAAAGTGTACTGACACCGTACGAACGGGTTGAAGTTTCCGCCTCTCTCCTGATCAGTAATTTGTCATGACAGTGTATATGTTAGAGGAAGGTACCTTGTCTGCAGGTGGTGAAGATGTTGGTGGCGGTACTGGTGGTGTTTGTGCTGTGTTGGACGCCGCAACAGTTCATGCTGCTCTGGGATGTGTTTAGACCCAAGGGGAAGAAGGTAGGCGATGAGGAGTGTGCCCTTAACTGTCTCACAGTGACTGAGTTTAGCGAGGCATTGAACAGTATTCCTGTTATGTCACGACGCGCCTGCTAAATGTGGGAGGAAAACCCGAAGTGATGCAGATCTTACACGTTTACCATGTTAGTATAACCCACGGGCACAGGTATTTTGATGACAAACCTTGAAACCATATCGGGACGTCGACCAACCGGGATTCGAACCACAGTCGCACATGTCTGGTGCACAGATGGACAGTGTTATTTATCTTACCTCACACATAAATGTTGCTTTCTGATTGGCTGAGCGCTCTTCTATTATTTTCAATGTACCCCGCTTACAAGCGAGTAACATTTTAATGTACCCCGCTGTCAATGGCAACTCATTTGGTACTTCGTGGTAGTAATTCTTTATCTCGAATAACATTAAATCACGTATGATGTACGGACATTACCGATGTTTTGCGAATGCGAATCGATGGAAGGGAGATAACTCTAAATCTGTATTTCTTGTCAGCAAAATCTAGCGATGGCTACAAAAAAAAAATGTAACCGTGCTTCAAACAATTCAAAATTAACACTAAGGTGTTCGGTAAGATAAATACGTTGTTCACTGGTCACGAGGGGGCCATGGGTTGATGTACCCTCGATGTTTGTTTATGTTCCCTGAGCCCTGTCACAAAACCACGACGTAGTTCCTTGATGTAATGTACACTTACATGATGTAGCATCTAGTGTGGTGATGCTGTTTATAACGATATGGCCGTACGCTATTCCAGTGAATCTCCAGATAGGTGTGGAGCTTAATATCAGTATGAAAGTTATCAATCAGTATGAAAAACGAATACTGTCGTTTACGCTGCACTCAGCAGTTATAGCGCGGCTAGATGACGGCGTGTGCAGATCAAGTCTGGACCACACAATGCTGTGATTGACATCATGGGGGTACGATAACATGCACCAACCAGGTCAGCAAGCCTGACCACCCGATCTTGTTAGTTGTATATCTTACTACAAGCATGGGGTGATGAAAATCAAATCTAGCCCGGATATTCACGGGATTATCGCATATCACATGAAATAAACCCATGTGCCTTTGTTGGTAATGTTGGTAAATTGCTTTTTACATTTTTTGTAGAAGCGATAAAAAAAAGAATATTACCGGCACTGTACACGTATATATCATCTTCGATATCCCAAAGGCCGGCGTTCGATAAACCGACACCAGTGAAGGTTTACCCAAATACCAGCCCTGGAGATATAGAGAATCACAGTATAGACATGGACTTGACCTAGAATAGAGCGTGTTTATAGACCACGTCTTTTTGTCACAACACATGTCCTTTGTCGCCTCACAAGTCCTTGAATATTTTTCAGATCGAGGCTTACTTGGACGACATTAAGTATGCCGCTCTGTACGTGGCCTACCTCAACAGCTCCCTCAACCCCGTCCTGTACGGCGGCTTCAACGAGAACTTCAGAAAGGGCTTCATCGAGGCGTTCCGTTGTCTCCTCATTAAGAAACGGAATAAAGTCGGTCCAGGTCAGTTTTGAACGTACCAGTTTTTTGTATTCTTCCGCGGAAACTCAGCGAATTGTTTATCGTGACAGTATACGTATAAAAGTTGATCCTTCCGCGGATCATTAGCATGGTGCTCACTGTGATGGTACACGTTAAATTAGCATAGTGGTGCTGTGACTATACACTTTAAATTATAATTTGTCCTTTCCCGGAACGTTAACCAAGTAGACATTGAGGTTGTACACGTTAAATGATCACTTTTCTCAAGTGCGGTTCTCAAATAACAAAATATAACAACCTGTTCATAATGAGAAAATCTCTACGTCGTTTTCCCATATAAATTATGTTAATTGATGCAGCGATTCCAAAGTGATGTCTACTCAGTGAAAACGAATTTTGCAATTGAACGCTTTAAAAATATCCAAACTTACGTTACGAATTACGTTTTACCTTCACAAAAAGGTGTGTCGCGAGTGCCCGTTTTTGATTATATTTCTGTGGTGAGTCCAAGATCTGCATCACCTTGGAATATTCCCCATGTTAAGCTAACACTCCGTGATGACAGTGCTATACTACCCACAGCGCCGTGAACCCACCTCACTCACTCACCTTATTGATGTTCTCCTCTGCAGTAACCCAGAGCAGCCGGAACCCAGTCGGACCCGGAAGTGGTGCTGAGAACATACCCATAGAAGGTACATCCACCATCTTACAAGTGAACTCGTAGCAAATTATCATCAGCGCACGACAGTTTAGATATAAGACGAATTTCATATTAAAAAATGTTCAGGAGCATCCAATTATTTCATATATCTATAATCATGTCAGGACATATCATCTATAGTAATATGAAAGAATCAGATGATCCTTAACAAGTATATGTTAGTGTCCGATGAAGATCAAGGGTGGTGCGTGACAAGAGGCAAGTGCTGGGTACAGCTATGTCACATAAGGAATAATGAAAAATAGTTTGTTTGTTTGTTGTTTAACGCCGCACTCGGCAATATATCAGCTATATGCCGGCGGTCAGTAAATAATAATCTGGACCAGACAATCCAGTGATCAGCATCTTAAGCATCGAGCTACACACTTGGGATACGATGACATGCGTCAACCAAGTCAGCCTGACCATCCCGTTTGTCGCCTTTTACTACAAGAATGGGCTGATAAATACCAATTCTAACCCATATCTTCACGGGTAAATGAAAAAGAGACAAGTGGCAACACTTGGTACTTGTGTGGCAGGTATTTGCAACCAGTAAGTGTGTACGTCCACCGTTGTTGCAGCTACCAGGTCGTCTGTCTACCACCTGTCTGTACCACGAGCTGTCTAAGACAGTCGTAGAGGCACAGGCCAGGTAAGATGTCGTTGTGTGTTGCCGTCGTCTCACGATGCATGCGTTATTAGATGTTGTGGACGTCGATGTTTCACTTTGCAGTTTCAGTCGTTATGTCGTATGTCCATTGCATACACTTCCTCGTATTGCTGTCCGCATAAGGGTCAATGTCTTCCTTCTATTTTTCTCAACATCTAAATAGTCAGACCGTTCTATCAGACTATCTATAGTCTACAAATGTTTCCTACCTAAATCGTATTTTGTCATTATTGGTAAAATAAATATTTTCCAAATAATCCTTCAGGATAAAATGTTCTTGCTCAACACTTTTTTGTCGTATTTGGTATTCTGACCGTTTCTTCTCATCAACTGTTTCAGAACACACCCTATCAGAACCTCCTGTGAGGAATATACGTTCAGCCCGTATGTTCACCATATATGAACCCATCGAAACGTGAGATCTGGCTTACGTGTACAGAGTAGATCATGAACTTGTCAACACCCACGTGACGGGAGACCTGGGTTAGGTGTACAGTGTAGATCCTGAACTTGTCAACACCCACGTGACGGGAGACCTGGTTTAGCTGTACAGAGTAGATCCTGAACTTGTCAACACCCACGTGACGGGAGACCTAGCTTAGCTGTACAGTGTAGACCTGGGTTAGGTGTACAGTGTAGATCCTGAACTTGTCAACACCCACGTGACGGGAGACTTGGCTTAGCTGTACAGTGTAGATCCTGAACCTGTCAACACCCTCGTGACGGGAAACCTGGCTTAGCTGTACAGTGTAGATCCTGAACATGTCAACACCCACGTGACGGGAAACCTGGCTTAGCTGTACAGTGTAGATCCTGAACTTGTCAACACCCACGTGACGGGAGATCTGGTTTAGCTGTACAGTGTAGATCCTGAACTTGTCAACACCCCCGTGACGGGAGACCTGGCTTAGCTGTACAGTGTAGATCCTGAACTTGTCAACACCCACGTGACGGGAGACCTGGTTTAGCTGTACAGAGTAGACATGGGTTAGGTGTACAGTGTAGATCCTGAACTTGTCAACACCCACGTGACGGGAGACCTAGCTTAGCTGTACAGTGTAGACCTGGGTTAGGTGTACAGTGTAGATCCTGAACTTGTCAACACCCACGTGACGGGAGACTTGGCTTAGCTGTACAGTGTAGATCCTGAACCTGTCAACACCCTCGTGACGGGAAACCTGGCTTAGCTGTACAGTGTAGATCCTGAACATGTCAACATCCACGTGACGGGAAACCTGGCTTAGCTGTACAGTGTAGATCCTGAACTTGTCAACACCCACGTGACGGGAGATCTGGTTTAGCTGAACAGTGTAGATCCTGAACATGTCAACATCCACGTGGCAGGAAACCTCCCTTAGCTGTACAGTGTAGATCCTGAACTTGTCAACACCCACGTGACGGGAGACCTGGTTTAGCTGTACAGAGTAGACATGGGTTAGGTGTACAGTGTAGATCCTGAACTTGTCAACACCCACGTGACGGGAGACCTAGCTTAGCTGTACAGTGTAGACCTGGGTTAGGTGTACAGTGTAGATCCTGAACTTGTCAACACCCACGTGACGGGAGACTTGGCTTAGCTGTACAGTGTAGATCCTGAACCTGTCAACACCCACGTGACGGGAAACCTGGCTTAGCTGTACAGTGTAGATCCTGAACATGTCAACATCCACGTGACGGGAAACCTGGCTTAGCTGTACAGTGTAGATCCTGAACTTGTCAACACCCACGTGACGGGAGATCTGGTTTAGCTGAACAGTGTAGATCCTGAACATGTCAACATCCACGTGGCAGGAAACCTCCCTTAGCTGTACAGTGTAGATCCTGAACTTGTCAACACCCACGTGACGGGAGATCTGGTTTAGCTGTACAGTGTAGATCCTGAACTTGTCAACACCCCGGTGACAGGAGACCTGGCTTAGCTGTACAGTGTAGATCCTGAACTTGTCAACACCCACGTGACGGGAGACCTGGTTTAGCTGTACAGAGTAGACATGGGTTAGGTGTACAGTGTAGATCCTGAACTTGTCAACACCCACGTGACGGGAGACCTAGCTTAGCTGTACAGTGTAGACCTGGGCTAGGTGTACAGTGTAGATCCTGAACTTGTCAACACCCACGTGACGGGAGACTTGGCTTAGCTGTACAGTGTAGATCCTGAACCTGTCAACACCCACGTGACGGGAAACCTGGCTTAGCTGTACAGTGTAGATCCTGAACATGTCAACACCCACGTGACGGGAAACCTGGCTTAGCTGTACAGTGTAGATCCTGAACTTGTCAACACCCACGTGACGGGAGATCTGGCTTAGCTGTACAGTGTAGATCCTGAACTTGTCAACACCCCCGTGACGGGAGACCTGGCTTAGCTGTACAGTGTAGATCCTGAACTTGTCAACACCCACGTGACGGGAGACCTGGTTTAGCTGTACAGAGTAGACATGGGTTAGGTGTACAGTGTAGATCCTGAACTTGTCAACACCCACGTGACGGGAGACCTAGCTTAGCTGTACAGTGTAGACCTGGGTTAGGTGTACAGTGTAGATCCTGAACTTGTCAACACCCCCGTGACGGGAGACTTGGCTTAGCTGTACAGTGTAGATCCTGAACTTGTCAACACCCACGTGACGGGAGACCTGGTTTAGCTGTACAGAGTAGACATGGGTTAGGTGTACAGTGTAGATCCTGAACTTGTCAACACCCACGTGACGGGAGACCTAGCTTAGCTGTACAGTGTAGACCTGGGTTAGGTGTACAGTGTAGATCCTGAACTTGTCAACACCCACGTGACGGGAAGCCTGGCTTAGCTGTACAGTGTAGATCCTGAACTTGTCAACACCCACGTGACGGGACACCTGGCTTAGCTGTACAGTGTAGATCCTGAACTTGTCAACATCCCCGTGACGGGACACCTGGCTTAGCTGTACAGTGTAGATCCTGAACTTGTCAACACCCACGTGACGGGAAACCTGGCTTAGCTGTACAGTGTAGATCCTGAACTTGTCAACACCCACGTGACGGGAGACATAGCTTAGCTGTACAGTGTAGATCCTGAACTTGTCAACACCCACGTGACGGGAGACATAGCTTAGCTGTACAGTGTAGATCCTGAACTTGTCAACACCCACGTGACGGGAGACCTGACTCAGGTGTAGCACGACTCACCTCCCGGACACGAGATTTCATTGAGACAGGACGGCGACTTTATACTTTGTTCAACGGTCAATGACAAGAAACAGAATCTCGAAGGTGCAAGAATAACCCCACGATACACAGAGTACAGCTCAAGGATCACTTCTTGGTTCGTTAGATCAACATGTGTACAACGACTTCTTTGAGAACAAACAACTAGCTAGGGGATATAACAGATACTGTATCCCGACCACGGGCCAAACCAGACCAGAGTGAAGCAATATTTGCAATGCCCTGTCAGGTTTACAGAAAATAGGTACAATGATATCCGTGCCTGTATGGTGATAAATGATCTCAAACAAATCTAGACTAAAAACTAGACTCTGAAATGAACATATTTTACAGAAAAAAGGCCTGAGACTTTCTTCATTTTCAGAAAGCTGTGGAAATCTAGACTTGCCACATTTTCTAGACTTGCGTGGGATTCCTTGGATGTATTTGCTTCAGGGTCTGTATGACAGACTAAAACAAATCTTGATATAACTGATATGCGAGAGGCTTGACCGGTACAGTTGTATGGCCGAGAGATCGGTTTCACTTGCTCCTGTTGAGGTCAGGGCGGTGGGATAGCCTAATGGTTAAAGCGTTTGCTCGTCACGCCGAAGACCCGGGTTCGAATCCCCACATGGGTACAATGTGTGAAGCCCATTTCTGGTGTCCCCCGCCGTGATGTTGCTGGAATATTGCTAAAAGCGGCGTAAAACAAAAACTCAGTCAGTCAGTCCTGTTGAGGTCAAACATGCGCCAAGTCTTCAATAAACCTATCATGAATGTATGCTCTTTATCATTGCAGCAACAAATTGGAGTGTGTGTCACATTTGAAAAAAATATAAATTATATTGATTAGTATTTAACTAATAAGTTTTCTCAGTCGCGAGGTGCCGGGATTCTGCTATTTGGGACACCATATTTCAAACCTGAAACTTTAAACGCCACACGTTGATATGAAATGTACATGTTCCATACCTGGCGTTAGGCTTGTCATTGAAACAATTTGGTGTGTACCACATACTGCACCTTCCACAGCATTGAAAGCCGTTCGGCACATATCTTAAAAGATAGGTATGTCCAAAAATGGGGAATGATCTGTTCCAGTTACAGAGTTTGAAGAGTAGATCGATTTCGTTTCAGGTCACATGATTTACTTATTGATATGCAGATATTTCAAGAAAACAGACTTTGAAGAATTTGTAGAAACAGTTGCAATAAAGACGGATCACTTTTTATGTCTATGTTTAGTGTATAATGATTTGAATGAGCAAAATATTTGAATAATAATTTCGATCATTCGCCATAAATTATGAACGGTCCTTAACTCTTACCATTATGGTGGCAGTGTTGGTGGATATATGTTTTCAAGTTTGCAGGTGTAATTGGGTAGTCGGTGCCTGGAAATCTAACGTTAAGACCATCCTTGTCTTTTGCAGCTATAAAAGTGAAAACCCCACAGATGTAGAGCCAGTTCCTTTACAGCTATATAAGGCCCTAGAAATCCTTGTATCTTCAGCAACCCATGACCAGTGAAGGTCCGGGTTAGAATGAACCTTCAGTAACCCATGCTTGTCGTAAGAGGCGACTAACGGGATCGGGTGGTCAGGCTCGCTGACTTGGTTGACACATGTCATCGGTTCCCAAGTGCGCAGATAGAGCTCATGCTGTTGATCACTGGATTTTCTGGTCCAGACTCGATTATTTACAGACCGCCGGCATATAGATGGAATATTGCTGAGTGCGGGGTAACACTAAAGTCACTCACTCACTCAGCAACCCATGCTTGTCCTAAGAAGCGACTGCCAGGGTCGGGTGGTCAGGCTCGGTGTCCCGGTTGACACATGTCATCATATACTAATTGCCAGATCGATGCTCATGATGTCAATCACTGGATTGTTCCGTGAAGACTCGGCCTTTCACAGCCCGCTGACACAGAGCTGCTAATACTGCGGAGTGTGTCATTAAACAAGCAAAAGAGTATGATACCATAACGTTCATATTTAGAATGTATACATGTAGTTGTTAAACCTCCTGCAAGTGCTTAATCTGAACAAGTGAGTGAGTAAGTTGGGTTTTACGCCGCTTTTAGCAATATTCCAACAATATCACGGCTGGGCACACCAGAAATGGGCTCTTCGGAGTGACGGCGAACGCTTTAACCACTATGCTACCCCACCGTCCCCTGAACAAGTGATAAAAGGTTGTTCCACGTCCAAGGGATGCAACTCTGCTAACTGCACTGTCTTACACTGCTGACACAACTGTGCCCCCCCTAATACTGTAAGACAAACACTGTGTGATTTTGTACTTTTTCAGTTTTATTGATCTAAAAAATATAATCAACAAGAAGATAATATATATAAAACAAATACATACAATTTAAAAATGAGGCCAGTACTGCTGCCACTGTACTTGATATCATTACAGGAATATATTTTGTCATTTACTACTACCAAGGAGACCATTGAGGAGTACAATAAGTAATAGGCATCTCTGCAGTGGAGTACACATGGCCATTGTCCACAACACCAACCACTGTGCACTCGATAGACTAAGGCTTAGTCTCTGAATATATATAATTTGGATAGTAACAAACAAGCCCATTTATATTGAAAAGGAGCCCTAGGGAGACCAGAGATTCAGAACCTGAGGAAATCTAGACTTGCTTTATTTAGGGCTTTAGCACTGCAGAGAGGGCTAGGCAGTAGGGAAATAATGTTGTTCAGGGACTGTGAGACAGACTATGCACTCGACTGTGCACTCCTCAATACTCCCACCTAGAAAACAAGAGTTTCTGTTCCATGTAATTCAGCACTGGAAACTCAAGGAAATAGCTGCTTAACCATGTGAGAAAGATGTAGGTCAGTCCAAATCAAAGATGGCTAGGGAAACCATTGTGCCCCACTTCTAGATTTTAAAAGGACACTGTTACTGTCTGGAATTGCTATGTTTACAATTACAGATTTGTCACTGGTTTGCCATGACAGTGCCTCTGATATAATAACATGGTTTCAGTAACAACTGAGTTCGTGACTGACTAGTTTGGTCAAGAAACTTTCATAAATGTTTTGGTCAGTTTCTTATTTAACAACATACATAAATAAGTGGAGAAGTTCAGCAATGTGCAGTAGTACATATATAAATATCCACCAAATAATGACACAACAAGAACACATTTAAACTTTATCTGCAAAAACGTAAGATTAATACAGAAGAAACACAGGGGGAAATTCGTGTTGTGTCATTATTTTGTAGATGTCTTATGTATATAATGTTACAGATGGGGATGCAAAACAAATACTAGTAATCCAATGACATTAGGTTTCCTTGTCACATAGACCTAGGATAAAGTAGATGAGATTGTGTCTGTCTACAACTCACATGCATGGCCTCTAGCGGACAGTTTCAAACATCACCAGGTAAACTAATACTGATGTCTAAGTTCCATTTGATACCATTCTGTTCTGGTAAACAACACATTCTTGATAGTATTCAGGCAGATCCTGTCTATCATGGACAATCACAGGATCTATTTTTTAAGCAGAGCAACACATTCCTGAGACCAAAGTCATTTGATCTAATGTGAGAGATATCTTACAACCTGATAGAATTTCAGTGTTTTATTTGACTGATTTACATACGCTATAACTTCTGGTTAATTTTCACTGCTGAGACAGACTGTCGAAATGTGTTTTGGTTCTTGACACTATTTGTTATTTGTAAAACTTAGAAATCATGTGTAACCTTCTGGCAAATTTCATAAAGTCTTTGTAAAACCTGTTAAAATATTATTAACATAACGTATATGGAAACATAACAAATTCATATGCATCATCATTATTGATTTTCTAACATAGGCACTTGGCAAAATTTGATAGCCTAACATTTCAATTTGGATTTTGAAGATTGCTGTTTCATACACATTATAGACTAGACAGTTTGTTCTTCTTGCACATTCTCAGTAAGCTGCCACTTGTCCATCTGCTCTAGGATCCGATCCAGACCACAATGCATTGTTGCTTTGTCCACTTCCTGACTGCCACCAGTTGCCACGGGTGATAACCTGACCTCTTCCAAACTTTGACCGGGCATGACCTTGGACTGGTCCTCCTATTGGATGACCCATATTCTTGAGTTTCTCCAGGGTTTCCTCCGATATTCCATCTTCCATGTCTATGATTGGTGACAGTCTAAATAGGAGATATAAATAGGTGGCAGTCTGAATAGGAGATCTAAATAAAGGTGGCAGTCTGAACAGGAGATATATATAGGTGGCAGTCTGAATAGGAGATATAAATAGAGGTGGCAGTCTGAACAGGAGATATAAATAGGTGGCAGTCTGAATAGGAGATATAAATAGAGGTGGCAGTCTGAACAGGAGATATATATATATATATGTGTGGCAGTCTGAATAGGAGCTATAAAAAGGTGGCAGTCTGAACAGGAGATATAAATAGAGGTGGCAGTCTGAATAGGAGATATAAATAGAGATAGCAGTCTGAATAGGAGCTATATATAGGTGGCAGTCTGAATAGGAGATATAAATAGAGGTGGCAGTCTGAACAGAGATATAAATAGAAGTGGCAGTCTGAATAGCAGATATAAATAGAGGTGGCAGTCTGAATAGGAGATATAAATAGAGGTGGCAGTCTGAACAGGAGATATAAATGGAGGTGGCAGTCTGAACAGGAGATATATATAGGTGGCAGTCTGAATAGAAGATATAAATAGAGGTGGCAGTCTGAACAGGAGATATATATAGGTGGCAGTCTGAATAGGAGCTATAAATAGAAGGGGCAGTCTGAATAGGAGCTATAAATAGAGGTGGCAGTCTGAATAGGAGATATATATATAGGTGGCAGTCTGAATAGGAGCTATAAATAGAAGGGGCAGTCTGAATAGGAGCTATATAGAGAGAGGTGACAGTCTACGACAGATTCAAGAGAATGCTAAAGAAGCCACTAAGGGAGGTAACTCTGATCACCGCTCAATTACAGAACTATTTATCAATTGACACCCACATGTCCCAGGATATGCCTCTAGTGTTCACCTACCCGTATCCTCCTCCGATGACAAAGCGGGGTTGGTCCAGGGCCTCCTGTGGGTCCATGTGGAACTCCAGCATGTTGAGAAGCACCTGCACATGTCCTTGAGGCTGCATGTAGCCGCCCATCACACCCAGGGTGCACAGCAGCTCACCTGGAACACAGGTAATCAAGTTACAACACAGGTTAAATAGCTGCATTAAGTACATTAATGTAATCCAATATGGTTGCCTGGGTGGCCATATTGGATGACAGACCATCACCAGTCAGAAGAGAAGACAATGGCATTACCTTCAGTGCATTATGCAGATTCAGTAGCGATGCGACAGAATCAGAGAGGAAGTGGTTCTGCATTTTTCTGGCTACTAGTTTTGTTCTCTGCACTTGTACTCACTTGTACTGTTCCATACAACAGTTGATGTCTTCACACTTGTATTGTACAACACACCTGTGTGTATCTACATGGTTGTTTTGTACACACAATGATACACCACGATCAAGGTATAACACACACATTTCCTGGTTCTACTCATTGTTCTACACACGTGTGTAATACTACACACATGTCTGTATTTGCAAACTTGTATTGTTCTAGACACCTGAGTGGTTCTACACAAAAATACTGATCTGCTCAGTTATGGTTCTACACACTGGTACTATTCTGCTCCGTCATGGATCTACATGATCAACTCTCCTACACACCTGTGTCATTCTACACACCTGCATCATTCTGCACACCTGTGTGTTTGTACCTACCAGTGTCCGGTGACGTCACCATGGACGGGATGATAGTGTGGTATGGTCTCTTCCCTCCGGCTATACAGTTGGGATGCGTGGGGTCCAGGGAAAATCCTGCTCCACGGTTCTGCAAATATAACACTGCAGCTAGACTCTGTTGCAACATAGACTCTCATGGTAGTCTGGGGTAGATCAGGTCATCTATACCCTTACTGGCTGACAAGGATTTGATGATCAGGTTCAGGGACTTGGATGTCGGTTGTTTGTTGTTCAGTGTGAGTCCTTACTTTTCCAACTACCGTATATTACCGTCTATAAGCCGAATGTTGTGGACCCAAAAATATGTTTGTAGAAGGGTGTCGTCTTATCTATGAGATACAATTTCACGGAAATATTTTTTAGCTCGCCAGTGCCCTGCCAGGACAATGTTACAGGTTACCGGTACATCTGCCAGGATGTTTGCCACGATTACAGCGTTTATGTTGAGAATGATGAATAAAATACATATTAACCTGTACGTTTTCATTATTTCAACATATTATTACATATTAGTCATTATGACATTTATCGTACAATCAGCTGTGATCATGTTTCCCGGCGATCAAGTTCAAACAGGCACAATAATATAGCGGATGAATTCTGGCACAGTCATCAGTAATATATAATACAGAATACAATTATTTAACCCACAGAAATATATCCTACCATTGTGTAATTTTAATTACAGTTTTTAATATATAAAATTGGTTTGTACATCATCCCGACAACCAGTGGTTGACATAGTGAGCAACAGTCCAAGCTCTCTGGGTACAAGGACAAACTTTCGAACAAGTCACTGAGTCTTATCACCAGACATTTTTAATTCCTATTCTGTCCAAATTAAAGTTTCTGGGGACAAATTCTAAACTGGAATCCAGAATAACAGAAAGTGTTCTTTGTGTCGTGCCTAAAACTTAAAGCTAAAACTTAGAGACTCAATATAAACCTAGAAATGCTACAATCCCTCATTTGAACTGACCTTTGTACTACAAAGCATCCTTAAACTGTAACGTAAATAGATGTTAAAGACTGCAGGGTCCACTTCCAGAGAACACATGTACTACTGGTACGGTTTAAGTCGCTGTAGATGGTGTTTGATGTGACAGTGCTGTTACAACACCTACCTGTAGTGTGAAGCCACACCCTTCAGGGACTAATCCAGTGCCAAAGCCAATGTAGTTGCTGTTGATGAAGGAGCAAGCATTGCCGTCACAGTCAACAGCGGTGAAGTACACAGTGTCACTGCCGGTGGTTGGGCTACCCCGCTCTATATCAGCCATAGCCCTGGCAACAGGAACCATTCAGTTATATACAGTATTTTACATCAATTCTCGATCTCTGAAGATCCGGGTTAGAATTGGTCTTCAGTAACCCATGATTGTCATAAGAGGCGGCTAAGGGGATCGGGGTGGTCAGGCTCGCTGACTTGGTTGACACATGTCATCATTATGAGCATCGTTCTACACAATTGGGATACAATGACATGTGTCAACCAAGTCAGTGAGCCTGACCACCAGGCACTTAAGTAAGAATTTACTAGCACCAGGCCGACGAAACTTACAACCAATCACATATCACAAGGTGGCTAATTCTGCACATTGAATTGTGACACCTCTGACCATCTGATACTGCAGCAATCTTGAGACAAATCATCGGTGCCTGAACACTTCAATGACATTTGTAACAGTATGATGATTTCCTATCCTTGGCCAGACATGGAATTCTTGCAATGCCATACCTAGTTTCACTAATAAGTTGTCTCCTCTTGCCTGCATACTGCTTGCTGATCATCTCCTGTATGGGGACACTGACCTTGGAGGGGTCGGCACAGTACCACTGGGTGTCGGCAAAACTCAGCCTTAGGGCCTCGATAAGGAGGTGAAGGTACTCAGCAGAGTTATGTCCCTTGCCTATCAAACCAGGTAAAGAAGGGAACTTTCAATGGATGAGTGCATAAAACAATGATTCTTCAAACATCTGTTTCTGCTACACCCACAACCCTCATACAACTGGGCATACACTTCCATTATCCTACATCTGAGCATTTCAGTTGTTTAGAGAACCTTTGGTTGGTTGTTTAATTGTCAACCCAAGCACGTAAATGAGTTTATTCGTTTGGAATGATCGCTTTAAGGGGTCCTCAAATTCTGGCCAGAATAGTCTCCGCTTAACCCAACAGACCTGATGGAAATTATATATTTGTTCATGATAATGTGTTACATGGTGATTAGCAAGCCCCAAGTGTTGCTCGTGTTATCAACCACTTGTTTGCTTGGCTTAATTATGATTACTTATGCTGCATACAGGTGGAGGGGTGACTCAGCATAAATGAACATTCACTGACTGACTTACTTTTAAGATCAAAGCCCTCCAGTATATTGAGAGCCATCAGAGCCACTATTCCCTGACCACTGGGAGGTATCTCCCACACCCGACACCCTCGATAGTCAACACTGATTGGCTCCTCGAAGGTGGTCACATGGCTCTTCAGGTCATCTAGGGTCATAGCTCCCCCATGTTGTTGGATGACATCAACCAAAGACTGAGCCACTCGTCCTTCATAGTAGCCTTTCTTTCCATCAGCAGCTACGGCCTGAGAAGATGAGTACACAAGATTTAGGCATTTGCAGATTTCAGAACTACTGGCTTCTGATTCTCCAGCTTTAAAGCAGAACAGACAGAAAAGCTGAAAGTATCTGCAAAGTTTTACAGGCCCTAAAACCTCACGTCAGTATTCCTGGTAAGAAAAGGGACCAAATACAACCAGTAGAAAGAACAAGTATGTGGCGATCATGTACAGTAGAACACGGATATAACGAACTCCAAGGGACCAAGAAATTTAGTTCGCTATATCCGTTGTTCGTTATTCACATTTGACCGCCATCTTGGATTGTAGAGATGTAGACATTCACAGACATTACCTATATCATGTTGATAAATATGAAGTTTATTTTTATAATAAAATTGCAATAATACAACTACAACTTAAATAAATTTATTTCTTAATGAAAATGCAAGCTTACATTTATAATGTCCAACAAGATTGATGTATACTGTACCGTTAAGTGGCTGAGCTGACACTGAGTGAGTTCGCTAATCACGTCGTTAATTTGGTCTTGGGGGTAGTAAATCAGTTCGCTATAGCCGTTAATTCGCTACTCACGAGTTCGTTATTCACGTATAATTTTAATGATATTATAAAGGACTGTTGACGGGACTTTTAAACTTGTTCGCTATATCCGTTTGTACGCTATATCCGTGTTCGCTATAACCATATTCTACTGTATTTGCAATATGTAATGTGGCTTAGTGTGTAGATTCACAGCTTGCTGACCTTGCAATCATTGCTGACCTCAAACTCTATACTGTCCCTTCACCCACTTCTTACCCTTCACTTCCCCACATGGGCACAATGTGTTAAGTCCATTTCTGGTGTCCCCCACCGTGATATTGCTGGAATATTGCTAAAAGCGGCGTAAAACTAAAACTCAGTCAGTCAGTCTTACCCTTCACTCAATGGTGTCCCTTCACCTACTGCTTACCCTTCACTCAGTGCTGTCCCTTCACCCACTGCTTACCCTTCACTCAGAGTTGTTCCTGCGCCCACTGCTTACCCTCCACTCAATACTGACCCTGCACCCACTGCTTACCCTTCACTCAGAGTTGTTCCTGCGCCCACTGCTTACCTTCCACTCAATACTGACCCTGCACCCACTGCTTACCTTCCACTCAATACTGACCCTGCACCCACTGCTTACCCTTCACTCAATACTGACCCTGCACCCACTGCTTACCCTTCACTCAATACTGACCCTGCACCCACTGCTTACCCTTCACTCAATACTAACCCTGCACCCACTGCTTACCCTTCACTCAATACTGACCCTGCACCCACTGCTTACCTTCCACTCAATACTGACCCTGCACTCACTGCTTACCTTCGACTCAATACTGACCCTGCACCTACTGCTTACCCTTCACTCAATACTGACCCTGCACCCGCTGCTTACCCTTCACTCAATACTGACCCTGCACCCACTGCTTACCTTCCACTCAATACTGACCCTGCACCCACTGCTTACCCTTCACTCAATACTAACCCTGCACCCACTGCTTACCCTTCACTCAATACTGACCCTGCACCCACTGCTTACCTTCCACTCAATACTGACCCTGCACTCACTGCTTACCTTCGACTCAATACTGACCCTGCACCTACTGCTTACCCTTCACTCAATACTGACCCTGCACCCGCTGCTTACCCTTCACTCAATACTGACCCTGCTCCCACTGCTTACCTTCCACTCAATACTGACCCTGCACCCACTGCTTACCCTTCACTCAGAGTTGTTCTTGCGCCCACTGCTTACCCTCCACTCAATGCTTACCCTTCACTCAATGCTGTCCCTTCACTCAATGCTGACTCTGCGCCCACAGCTTACCCTTCACTCAGTGCTGACCCTGCACCCGCTTCTTACCCTTCACTCAGTGCTGTCCCTCCACCCACTGCTTACCCTCCACTCAATACTGACCCTGCACCCACTGCTTACCCTTCACTCAATGGTGTCCCTTCACCCACTGCTTACCCCTCACTCAGTGCTGTCCCTTCACCCACTGCTTACCCCTCACTCAGTACTGACCCCGTATCTACTGCTTACCCTTCACTCAGTACTGACCCTGCACCCACTGCTTACCCTTCACTCTATGCTGTCCCTTCACTCACTGCTTACCCCTCACTCAGTGCTGTCCCTTCACCCACTGCTTACCCCTCACTCAGTGCTGACCCTGCCCCCACTGCTTACCCTTCACTCAATGCTGACCCTGCATCCACTGCTTACCCTTCACTCAATGCTGATCCTGCATCCGCTGCTTACCCTTCACTCAATACTAACCCTGCCCCGACTGCTGTCCCTTCACTCAATGCTGACCCTGCACCCGCTGCTTACCCTTCACTCAATACTAACCCTGCCCCGACTGCTGTCCCTTCACTCAATGCTGATCCTGTATCCGCTGCTTACCCTTCACTCAATTCTGACCCTGCATCCACCTCTTGTTAAGGTACCATGAAGATCGGTAAGAGGTGATTTATGGGATTAAGTGTTGCTGATTGGTTGACAAATGCCATATCCTAATTTTTAGGCAAATGATCATGCTGTTGATCACTGGACTGTCTGGTCCAGACTAGATTATTTACACTCCACTGCCATATAGCTTGAATATTACTGAGTGTTGCGTTAAAAAACAAATGAACCAAACCATGCTTGCCAATGAAGATTACGTGTTTGCAATTTGTGATTGTCTAGGGTTGCCTGGTCCAGACTCGTGTATCTACAGATCAGGGTGAAACGACTTTAGTATTGCTTATAGCAGCATAAAACAACTTTCATTCACCCAGTCATACCCTGAATGTCTTGGCTAAGTTTGGCATCTTCATGAGGTCGCCATGTTTTGGAGCTTCACCATTCAAAAGCAGATCACTGCCATGTTTGTTGGAGGGATCAGTTAGGAGATGGGAACCTGAAGAATGATGACATCATTTCAGTCTAGTGTCCGTTTGATTTCATTTGTGACCAATGAATTGCTCACTAACACAAAATCTAATAAATGCAACAAAACCAAATTTTGCACTCCACATGAAATTGACAGATACAGGAATAAAAAAGTTGTTTAACAAGTGATCAATATTTTGTTGTCACTTTTCGCTATTTCTTATGAGGGGGGACCACTTGCTGGTAGAACAGCCAGGTAATCAACAAGCGTGTGTAGTGAAATTTCAGTTTCACATGTGGAACTCGCATACCCATCTGATCTACCAGCAAGTGGTCTCAGTGGTCCAGTTATATGGCGGTTGTCTGTCAATTATCTGGATCTTCACGCCTGGTGAGTGAGTGAGTGAGTGAGTGAGTGAGTGAGTCTGGAACAGACAATCCAGTGATCAACAGCATGAGCATCGATCTGCGTAATTGGGAACCGATGACATGTGTCAACCAAGTCAGCGAGCCTGACCACCCGATCCCGTTAGTCGCCTCTTACGACAAGCATGGGTTACTGAAGACCTATTCTACCCCGGATCTTCACGGGTCGCCCATGTATCAGATCATTAAAGCTATTCTGTACAGATCGTGAGCTGTATTGCAGTTGAAAACTCACTCCACAATTTTCAAGCTAGACAATTAAACAATATAACAGCTGTTCAACAATCAATAATACATGACATGTCTCAGTAGTTGTATATTCTTTTTCCATTGAAGTTACCAACTGTTACAATATATTATTCACAAAATACAAGTATAAAATAATAGTTGTTTTCAAAGATAATGATTCTTCTTCTTACCTTTGTTCCAGAAGTATGCTGTACACTTCTGTACTGGGAATCCATTCTCTGCCAGGTCAATGGCTGGTGCCAGGATTTGTGTCATCGTCAGCTTGAAGCCGATGTCAGAGCATGTAGTTTGTTATGGTACAATACAGCAAGTGCCTGTACAGACTTTCAGTACAGTTCATTATCTGTCGGTTCACATCGTTTAAAGCATTAGGACTCACAAGACATAAATGTTATGTTTACCTGACCCAAGTACGTCAAGTTCTATGTGTCATAATGGCATGAAACAAATAAAATATCATCAGCTACACTGATCACAGGATACTTGAAAAGAGAGGATGTGATTTGTGAACATTTTACTGAAAATGTTTGATACATTTTTGAGCAGACGAACATGTCCTTCCAGTCCTATTTGTGTGTGCAAAGGGTCGACCTTGTTTGGCTCTGGTTGGTCAACAGTCTAAGCTCACCTAATCTATATAGTTCATCACAAAAAGTCTTAACAATTCTGTAAAACCTCCCAATATCAGATATGTGCTTATTGTTTGATTATCAATAGGTTTTTGTGACAATTACTGTGATCAATATTCAGGTTCAATTACAGGCGACCATATCGGTACCATATTTCACTTATCTCATACTGGCAAAACGTCTGTACAAAATATTGTACCTTCTGTGTCAGTTCCTATAAGGGAGAGTTATCTACCTTGCCGCTGCCAAATTTCTCCACTGTGTCAACCCATGCTGCTGCAGCTCCAGGAACAGTAACAGCATGTGCGTGAGTAACCGGGAAACGATGATCTTTGCTGTACCCTTCACCTTTCAAACGGTCCACAGTCAAGGCTGATGGTGCACGCCCACTGCAGATATAATCAGTAAGGGTGAAGGGTTTGGTTTGTTGTTTTACACCGTGCTCAGTAATATTCCAGCTATATGGCGGAGGTCTGTAAATAATCGAGTCTTGACCAGACAATCCAGTGATCAACAGCATGAGCATCGATCTGCGCAACTGGGACATGATGGCATGTGTCAACCAAGTCAGCGAGCCTGACCACCCGATCCCGTTAGTCGCCTCTAATGACAATCATGGGTTACTGAAGACCAATTCTAACCCAGATCTTCACAGGTTTTAAGGGTGAAAACACTGAAACCCTGACACAATTTATGGTAATATGTGATGGGTCGAACTACGATATTCAGCTGCAAAATTTGTTTAGCTGCTGAACTGATACAATGTATTTTCTGAAAAAAACATGTCCTTCAGAATCATTCAATTTGAGCAGATAGCTAATGAAGTGATAAACTTTATTGTCTTGTCTGACAAAACTGTTAACGTACCTGCCATTCAAACCTTTCACTGTTTTTGATCTGGCGTCATAGAAGAGACAAAATGCATCTCCACCAATTCCAGTTGAGCTTGGCTCAGTCACATTCAGGGCTGCTGCCATGGCAACGGCTGCATCAGCAGCATTTCCACCCGACTTCAGTACATCTGAAATACAACTCTGTAACTATAGCAACAATAAAGTCATTAGTTTCTGGTCATATTTATACCTGGGTTACCCTGCAAATATTCAGATGCAGGAATCTAGGGTTAATCTGATACAGAGTTGGCCCCAAGCAAAACGACATAGTCTTGTTGATATTTGTCATTCACTGATAACATGCCAAAAATACATGAGGAAGAAGCTTTAATGCCTAGTTTTACATCTTTGTATTGGATTCAGTTGCCTATGGCATTTAGTTTGGCCAACTGAGAATCCTAGATAAACCTATGAAGTTCGTATAATTTGTCACAAAGACAGACTGAATACATACAAATACTTTATGACTGATATCAGTGATGTAAATGATCATGAAAGATCCTAGCTGAGAGCCGCGATGCGGTCCTATACAGTCAAGACATGACCCTGCATCATGTCTTGACTGTATAGGACCGCATCGCGGCTCTAGGCTAGAAAGATCCCTGTATGTTACGATATAAACATTGTAATTTAAGTAAGTAAAGAAATGAATAAATAAATGAAAAAATGAAGCTTTGCATGAGGTAAATATAAAGTAATTCTTAAAGGAACCCTCAAATGACTTAATTTTAGAGTTGAAGTGGTGATAAACTCGAGCGTAGCCTTCTAGAGCTGAGACAGGAGTCTGAATAGAAGCCCAGGCACTGTGTTAATACATACAGTTCTGCATACGAGACCGACATTTGATACATCAGTTACGTTAGGATTTTACATTCTCTTCAGTCACTAGCACATCGTGGTATCAGTGACCTCAGGTGGTAGGGTGAGTAAGACTTTACAAAGGTGAAGGTGTAAGTCTCATAAAAACTAACACTTTATGAAGTGACCGTTTGGCCTGTTTACATATCTAGCACCGTTACCTCGCCCGATCTGTGATGCTAAGGGCTGGCTGCTCGCCACACTTCCATGTTTGCTGACAACACACGATCTACGGGACTGGAACTTCAGCTCGTTGTCACCCATCTTGCGATAGCGTCCTCAATGTCGGTCAGGGACGACTGGATGAGTTCTGCAGGTGGATGGCACGTCAATTGCCCTGTCATATTTAACATAGCACACGTTGCCAAGGGACGTCACTCTCAAAACTGGTGTTTAGTTACGCCGCTCGTCGTAAGATGCTGTGAGCGCGGTCGTCTGCGGTGAACAATGGCTTGTTGGCATATGGCTTCATTTTATGATAGTCATATTTATAGCGTTATGGCTTACTTGATAACCGAGGGCACGTACTGAATTATTTGAGAGTACAACAGGGTACATATTATACAACATTACTTCCTCAGCGAGGTGAACAATGCCCATATGGCCTCATTTTATGGCATTGTGTAATCATCATTTTATTATGATGATATTTATAGAGGATACTAAACGGCCTTAGGTGTAATACGATTTTTATTAAACGAGTTAATGATTTGGTATTGATACTAAATCTTTCACGAGTTTAATAAAAATGGTATTTCACGGAAGCGAGTTTAGTATTCTGTTTATTAATCTCCAACATAAATTGATAGAAACTGCCTACAGTGTGATGACTCCCAGTTTTCCACGAGTCCAGCCAGGTCTAATACCATTGTGACAGAGGTATTAGCATTGTGACGTCATAACTGTAAACCATTATGACGTCATTCGTCCGGCATCACGCGATGTTATAACACAATGTGTAATAACATTGAAGAATTATTAAACAGGGATATCTTCAACGGGTTAGTAATAAATAGATATATGGTACACTTGATAAACGAGGACACGTACTAAATTATTTGAGAGTACAGCGAGGGACATATTATACAGCATTAGTGTTAGCTTGGTGTTCCTTTAACGGGTAGGGGGGTAGTCTGGTAGTTAAAGCGTTCGCTCGTCACGCTAAACACCGGGTTCGATTCCCTACATGGGTACAATATGTGAAGCCCATTTTCTGGTGCCCCCCGCCGTGATATTGCTGGAATATTGCTAAAACCATACTCACTCCTTTAACGGTTCAGGTAAAATGTCCATGAGTAGTGAAAAGGCGATAGTCGAGAGCCGCGATGCGGTCATATACAGTCAAGACCTGACTCTTCATCGCTGCTCCCGGCAAAGAAAAAAACAAACACACACACGTGAATCATTCGCCAAATTGTGATATGCTAGTTAGATTGCGGCTTTGACATATAAAGCATTAAAGAGCCTGCGCATATGTTTGGGGGAATGGCATCCAAATTGTTAAATAAATTGTTCCTTTTACTCCATTTTATTTTGGGGCGGTGGGGTAGCCTAGTGGTTAAGGCGTACTCCCGTCGCGCTGAAGACCCGGGTTCGATTTCCCACATGGGCACAATGCGTGAAGCTCATTTCTGGTGTTCCCCGCCGTGATATTGCTGGAATATTGCTAAAAGCGGCGTAAAGCTACACTCACTCACTCCATTTCATTTATGAAGTTGATTTTCACAATTTTAGTTGAAAGATTAATATAGTTAACTTCAAAGTGAATGTACATATATGTTGTGCACACTTGGGATCAACAGTATTGACAGGTCGAGATCCAAAGGAAAGGCTATAACAAGTACCTCACACTTGCTAAGACGTCATTTCTGCTATGACGTCAATAATACGTCAGCAATAATAGGACGTACCGTCATCTGCACTGACGTCATAATACAATACCACAAAATGATAATATGTCAACAATGATGCATGCATTTTATCAACCGAATGCAGTAGGGTGCATTTGTGTTTCATTTTGATTTATATAATCTCAAACAATTTGAACTGAATTATGAATCTGAATTGTGTATTTGAGTTTGTTATGAAGTACAAATCATAAAAGAAAAATGATTATTCCAATACATGATTTTCCAACTGATGAAGTCATGCATAATTCAAACCATGTACATGTACACTTAACTACGTTCATACCAATCACACCTGTAAAGATGTATTCAGAGGCCGATACATTACTATATTTTACAACTGCTTCTTTGATTAGTAGACTAAGTTAAAGTTGGTCTTTTGCTTCATCTTAAATAGGCACACTCCGAGACATCCAAACCGCATCTAATCAGTGCCAAGGGTGATGTATAGCAGCAGAAAATGCAAACTATAAACGTCTAGTCAGGTTTCTGGTTTAGAAGAGCAAAACGGTTATGAAGAAAACTGAAGTTGTTTACAGAGTTGCTTCCCTTCCACCAGTATGATTCGGTCTCTTGTCCCTCAATATTGTGGCGTTACTTTCTCTTGAAATGTAAGGTATTTCTACCTAATATTCCTAGTTATTTGCAGGTTTTACCAATGCCTTTCGTTTTGTACCAACAATGAGAATTGTTTAAGACAGTTTTTAGAAATATTCTGGCAACATTGCGGCGGGAACACCAGAAACACAGGGGCGTGTAACGGTGAAAACATAAACTGACATCAGTGTACATACTGTCACTGACTGGGCTTAACACTGTAAAGATCCTTTTATATAGTGCTAAGAAGTCGCCAGAGAGTACATACCTTGATAAACTGACATCAGTGTACATACTGTCACTGACTGGGCTTAACACTGTAAAGATCCTTTTATATAGTGCTAAGAAGTCGCCAGAGAGTACATACCTTGATGTCATTTGTTTGCGTTACAAGCCATTATGACCAGAAATAGGCTTCGCGTATCGTGCACACGAAGGGAATCGAACTTGGGTGTGACAAACGAATACTTTAACCGGCCCTGACGGCCTCTGTCCACAGAAATAAAAGGTTATGATTAATGTTGGAGAGCGAACAAAGAAATCATCGTCGCACGAACGAGTCTATTTGCATGGGGAATACCAAACAAGTAAAAATCATAAATATAAATGCGTATTTAAGAAAACATATCAATTTGAATGTAGCGCTTGAAAAAAAGATGTACATTAAAGTTAAAACAGGCCGAGCATATCTTAGCTTTTTTAATGTGTAATTTTGGATGCACCTCAATATGTGGCATACATATGGTTTGGGAAAAAGTGTTTATGACTGATGCCTGTGAAAGGTTATGTGTATTTGTACACGTGTGTGGCTTCTCGCTGCAAGTGCATGACTTCGGCATGGGAATCGTGCCGTTCAACGCTTGATTGTACATTAATGGCGAAGTACTGGCACCAAGGGCGCCAAACCTTTTCCGTTGTTTTAACAAATCTCGACATCATTTAGTTTTAACATTGGTGCAAATATTCTCAACACTTGGCATCCTTTCATTCAGGATATATGCGGTCTTTATATTGAAACGTTTCTCCATCTGTATATCCTGTGTGTTTGCTACGACAAATATTCCTGACTTACTATCTTATGGCTTTACATTAGGCTGTCTAACGTGGATCGGCTCTGGACGTATTCAGTGCATGTGTTTGTTGAGTTTAGAGATTAAATGAGGGTGTAAACTCTCCCACTCAACTCCACCCACCGTGCTGAATCCCGAAAGCTATCGAATTTTGAGTCTATTTGCTAAAACCCGGAAATCACTAAATCAAATCTCAATGCACATATGTGAATTACGCCTACAAAGACATTGATATCGAGCAGAGACAAGAAACAATTGAACACATTCCTTGGCAAAAAAGGGTTCGATTAAAGTTGAATTACTGAAGAAATATGAAAGAAATATACTATATAAAGAACAGTTTTACAAACACCGTTATGTTCAATATGTTGCGTCTGTCTGCGTAACCAAAACCAATGTATCTGTATTCCGCGTAACACACTACTAAGTACCGAATACCCTCATGATGTCACCCTAAATGTAAACTCCGAGAGACTAGGCTGCTCCGTCGACGCACAACTGCTGTTTTAAATGAGTTAGTGGTCGTCAATATTACTTCCAATCGATAAATACGCTCTACCCAAAAGCAAAACAAAAGAACAAACAACCCAAACCCCACACCCACACACACACAAACAAACAAAACAAAAACGAAACAAAACAAAACAAAAAGCACAAACAAGACAACAACAACAACAACAAAAACAACAAAACACCCACAAAATACCCCACAAAAAATCCCTATAGATAAGAACCACGTATAATATTGATGACTGAATTGTCTGGCCAAGACTCGACAATTTGATGGTCGCCGTCATAGAGCCATACAACTGAAATATTACTTAGGTCTGCGTGAAATAAACAAACATCCCCTCCTTAGGAAAAAGAACAAGACAGATCCAAAAAACTAAAATATAAACAACCAACCCTCAAATCCCTCCAAGACACCAAAGCAAAATATAATAGATCAACACGCGGTCTGCACCAGGTATACTTTAAAAAGTATACTCATGGCCACAAAGAAGCGCATTGAAAGGGAAATATGGACTGTAATGCCCAAACGGCAATCTTCTTTCTTACACGACAACTATACTCTGGGCATAATGCTTTCAAGTTTGTCTTTAAAAGTAGGTGTCATGAAATTTAAATGTAAAGCCAGGTATTAGATGTAAGATAGGTGTTGATCCTGGACATCTGACGCAAACATCCGAAGCAGGAACGTTTACGTCTTATATATACTTTACGCAACATATCTGATTGGTTGCATGTACCGCATACAACAAGGCAGTAGCCAATAGTTCAATGTTTCACAGTGTGTGATTAGCAGGCTACGGGTACAGGTACCAACAAACCAAAATGTTGACGATCGAGTCCGTAAAGGGCCTCCAAGGTGAACGACAAAAGCACGGGATTAGTCGACTGATCGAACTCAAATTAACACAAATTGCCATCTCCATGTCTAATTGCCACGTGTTGTCCCACCCCATACATTGCCAACAGACGTCAGTGGTGCACACAGCTTCGAACTTAGCTGGGTAATTGTTGGTCACGTGTTGTCCCACCCCTTACATTGCCAACAGACGCCAGTGGTGCACACAGCTTCGAACTTAGCTGGGTAATTGTTGGTCACGTGTTGGATTTTCGGATGAGCTCAGATTCATTTTGCTCTTCCTTTATACACTCGGTCCTGCCTGGCGATGTGGAAACGAAGGTCAGGCCAATATTAGCCCCATGGCAGATTTGGCGGTGAATAGGTTCTGGTGTATTCTGGCATCATCATGTCTCAGATGAGCCTACACTATATTGTGCAATGAAGGGT